GTCAGTGCGTCCTCCCACCTTCTATATAGCCAGTGTGAAACGGGCGAATTTCTCCAACTTCCTACCACTTTTTCCGAATTCCCGAAAATTTTCCCTTCTTTAAAATTTTGCTGTCGAGCGGGGAGGTGTATAGTGCACATGAAACAGGAAAAATCACGCAAAAAGTCAACAACCGGAAAACCAACGCGACAAATTTCTCTCAAAGGCACATACGACCCCTCTCTCTCCCAACGACCAAATACGACCCCCTCCCAGAGAAAAAGTGCGACCCCTTATGTGTTTCCCACAACGATGCTGGACCCCGATCCAGTGTGCCCTTTTCTCCTCCTTTGCTCGCATGCAGTCAGCGAGAACGGGGGCCCTGTTCACCCTGCCTTGCAGGCAAGCGTACAAAGTGTCTTTGATTCATTACTGATCTTTAAGGAGTGCTCGACCGCCGGTGGTGATATGCGTTAAACTGGATATGACGGGTGGTGATCTCGAACGTTTAGTAGCCGAATCAGGATGGATTGAAGGGCGTGACTTCATTCATTTCAGTTAGAAATGATTTCGTAAGTGCTACAACAGTTTTTGCACTTTGCTATCGATTACAGTCCCTCTTATCACCGAGCACCCATCAGTCCTTGATTTTTTAGAACCTTCTTTACTGCAGTGACTGCCCATCAGATGCGTTGGACGACTAAAAATTTAGAAAGTGTTATTTGCTGCCATAACATTTTTTCTTAACATTATTTACTTGTTTGTTTGCCATTTTTCCCTGATCCACTCATTTTGTGAGTCTGTTCTAAAACATGTGATGCCATCTTTACTGAAAATATGAACACAAGTAGGATCATAGAGACATCATTGTGGATGTGATGTTTGAGACAAACATGTCAAGGCGTGACGCGGTTGCAGCGCGGCATAACTGATTGATAAGTGTGGAGCAGCACGGTATCAGCAGTATGCGCCTCCTCAGATCTCATTAACCTTTCTGAGCACTTGGCTTCTTTGTCTGTCTACTCGCAACATTCTTTTTCAATGCTAAGCCAACTCTGCCTTAGATTTTGGACCTTTTTGACAGCTTTTTTCGGCACTTTTCTGTACTAGTAAGACACCTACCGTCTAGAAACTCACGGCGTGAATCCTAATAACCACGACTTGCCGCGCTATGATGTCGTAGTACCATTTTAAGAGCTCTTTTCGGTAGCATACCTTACGAAGCGCAATTCTGTTGCCTGTCTTTGCGTCGTCATTGCTAGACCTCAAGTAACAGAAAGTCGCGTTGGTTGTGGGTGGGCTGTTCCTGTGCAGATCACAGAGGCTATCAACGTCGCGGCTGCCCCTCAGTGCATGGCTGTCTGCAGTCTGCACCACAGCTGTCATTTGTTCACCCGAACTATGCCTCCAATGTATGTGCGCTTGAAAGGCTTATCCATCTATGCTTCTTAATTGACCACGATGCATGAGCGTCCTTTTTTGCGGCTTAACGGGCCAGAATTCTATTGATTCCAGTGCATATGGGCGCTTTCATGCAGAAGAACTTGGAACCAAAATGCTCCAAAAGCTGTCGGCGTACTGCTCGCTGTGAATTGTAGTGGTTTTCGAATGAATTAGACACTTTTCATAGGTTATGCTGCCAGTTTTCTTCTTCCATGCATCTTCCTGACATACAAGGGATGTTTTTGTATGTCACGCGATAACCTTGAAGCAGCGACAAGAATTGGCCTGATACGAGTGGAATGTTCATTCTGCAGCCATTAGGATGAAGAAAGGTGGGCGAGAGACGTGCCATTGAGGTCGTGCCGCCCATGCCGAGCGCGGCGAATAGTAGCGATCACAAAAGTGTTAGGAAATCCTCATGGTGTGCTAAGAGGCAGATGTCGCGGAATAAATGGCGGTGTTACTGGTGTCAGATCTCGTTAGCCCACGTGCATCAACCTCTACCTCATGAAAGGCTATTGGTGATTTAGCGCCACGTTGCGCGGATACTAGTTCAATAGCACGGAACATGGTATCTCTCTGAGTCGATTACGCGTTTCCTGAGTCCTTGTCCTTACTGTCAGGAAGCAATTTCCTACCGTTATCCTTCTTGGCGTAGACTGGTTGTGTTGGTCGCAGCTTCACTCAGCACAAATGATTTTACAGCACAAATTTTCTCGCGTTTTTTAGTGTTGTATTTTCGCTACTGTAGGACTTAGCTTCTTTTTTCATCTAAGAGATCACTGCTTACCATTCCCTGTCTCGGATCATCTGTTTCATAGAAATGAAAAAATAGTTGTTGATGCTTGAAGGTTACTTGCAGTGAAGGAATTGACCAAATCAGTCATCGAGGTGTTGGTCCCTTATAACAAGAACAGAATGTTGATCTCAAAACTACCTCAATATTCAAGAGCAATGCCCATGATTGGTTTGCTGGGAAGGAGTGCTCCTGGCTACGTAACAATGCAGTATTCTAAGGTATGTCGTGTGTAGGTTTATAAGGCTTTATTGACGAGACGGGGTGGTCTCGTTGTAGTTGCGATGGAATACAATATAGTTGAGACGGGGTGGTCTCTAGGTAGTCCGAGACGGGGTGGTCTCGGTGGTGGACGTGGTAGAATGCTGACTTAATCTAGGCGTGCCTCTCAATACAGGAGAGGTCACGCATCGAGTATCTAACTATTTACCTACAGGGTCATAATCACATGTCTCAAGTTTGCCTATGGATTATACATATCAATCAGTTAGTCATAAAAGGGTGCGCCGGCAGGTTCTGGTGGCAATCCAGAATATGTCGTGAGATAAAACGCGCTTGCGTGGTCGTCATCTACATTTTGAGAGGGTTTCTGGGAGCTTGTAACAGCGCTGGAACAGTTCATGCTTTGCGACACTTGAACGAGCCAAAGTGAAGTATAAGTTCGGCGAAGCGAGAGAACACTGACCAGTTATGAAAGGACGGAGTAATTCGCCTTGTACTCCTTTAGCGCTCTGATCCTCCGCTTTTTTAGAGGAGTGATTCGCGCCTTTCATTATAAAATCTCGCTTATCTTGGCCTTAAAGTGGCCACACTTCACCGGATCCATACCCGGAACAAGCTAGGTCACGTGATAGCCTTGTTAACAGCAAACACATCGACTAGTGTCACGAGGGGCGAAGGAGGGGGGGGAGGCGGAAGAAAGGTTTCGTCAAAGACATACGATCGTGTTGTATCGTTCTCACCGCTTCTCTAGACATCTGCTATATACCAGTGACGCGAACCGTATGACCACTGATGTAGGGGCACTGACCCAGACACTAGACACAACCAGAAACAGCCAACGAAAGAAAAAGAGCGGAAAAAGCTCTCGAGAGACAGCGGACCACCCCGAGCCTGTCAAGCTTGACCAGACAACCGAGCTGTCGCTCGAACAGTGCGACTGATAGCGGCTCTGCAACCTTGTTATTAGCGGTGGAGCGAGGAACCGATCTTGAAGGTGAGAAGGTGACAGCGAGATAGCAAATGTGCTGCTCCACTGCTAATCACAGTCGCTTGTGTCTGAATTTTTGGTGAAGCGAACTACATACGCTACTTTTCAAGCTGGGTTATCGTCTAGCGTTGCACATACGTTGGATTTTGAAGTTTAACCCAGTTCAAGGTTTGCTTTCTGTCCGCTGCTCAGAAGCTGTTGCGCGCGATTACACCCTACACGGCT